TCAGCTCCAGGAGTGGCTTAGGGTGGGGGCGGGGGAAGAGTTAGGCTGAAAAAATAGATTTGGGAAATTAAAGGAACTTTAGAGATTCTAAAACACAGAACATATGTGCTATCTTAACCTACATATTTTTTAAGACAGCAGGACATTTCCCTTCTAATAGCAGTCCTGAAAATACCTTAATTGTATTCATGTACAAAGTGGGTCACCAAATTTAATATGTTGCAAATCCAATTAACTGGTATTAATTCAAAGCAATTATTCATGCAGAACTCCCAATCAATTAATATGATCTTGGATCAACTATACTTTGCCAAGTATAAGAGAGGAGAATTTGTTGATGTAAGAGATGAAGACCAAAGATGTCTCAGCTAATTTAAGGGAACAAACATTTGGAAAAATTGATATATTGGGATAGTAATAGCAATAATGATTATAACAATAATTTCTGTTCTTTAGTCTTCCTCTTCCTAAAACTGTCACCAGATCTCCCTAAAGAAAAGACAGGCAATTCAGAGTCCAGCTCTCTGTCTCCATTGTGAACAGCCTTATATGTGGGCTGCAGTCCAGGGTGTGTCTTTCCATAGTGCTTCTGTCTCTATCGGTTCAAAACTGACTGTTTCCTCCCTGTATGGAGTAGTTTACATGTCTTTAAGACCATGGACCCTAGTGCCATCCTTCTTGACTTCAGAAAGTCCCAGACTTTCATCCAGTGAGTCATCGAATCACTGATAACACACTCAGCCTTTGCCTCAAATGAAACACCTGCTGAGTGGAAGCCAGTGAATTTGATATGAGAATGGATCAGGATTGTGTAAGCAAGGGCATTTTACCTGTGCCTGGCATATGCTAAGTGCTTGTGCAAAGGGTGGCTGGCATTGGTTTAATTACTTCCCTGCCATCAGAATTCTGTTATTAAATACCCCTGGCCCTTCAGCAGCAGGTGGGTCCTCAAAATAGACAAAGAGATATCTGTGTAGGGAAGCCCTGAGTTCAGGAACTGCCTAGAAAGAGAGCATCATCCTTGATTGTAAGGTCTTCTGGTCATAAAACATGCTCAGGAGTCCAGTCAAAGAGAGGGAAGAGGGATTCTATGAGCAAGGACACCAAAATGGGGAAACTTACAGAGACAACCAAACCAAACCAGTGGGAACTCATGAAATTTAGATCAATAGCTGTGGAGCCTGCATGGGACTGGACTAGGCTCTCTGCACAGCAAGACCGTTGTGTAGCTTGATCTGCTTAAGGGGCCCCTGGCAGTAGGATCCGAGTCTATCCCTGGTGCATGAGCTGGCTTTTTGGTGGGACACCTCACACAGCCTTGAGGCAGGGGGAGGGGCTTGGACCTGCCTCTACTAAACGTACTTCCTCATGGGAGGCCTTAACTTCTCGTAGGAGGGAATAGGGGGTGGGTTGTGAGGGTGAGAGTGGAGGGGCGGGAGGAAGGAATTGTTATGTAAAACGAATAAATTTTTCTTAATTAAAAAAAAAAAACATGCCCAACACAACGAGTACCATCCTGTGCCCCAGGCCAGGCCACTAATTCATGCATCCCTTACGTCTGAAGGTGTCAGGAGTGGCTCTCTTGGTTTGTGACATTAGCTAAAGAAGCTGTTCTCAACCTGTGGGTCGTGACCCCTCAAGTTTAACAACTCTTTCATTGGGTTCACATATCAGACATCCTGCATAACAGATCTTTACATTATGATTCATAACAGTAGCAAAATGACAGTTATGAAGTAGCAATGAAAATAATTTTATGGTTGGGGGTCACCACAACATTAGGAACTGTATGTATCAAAGTGTTGCAGCTTTAGGAAGGTTGAGAACTATTGATCTATAGTAGTCTTAAAACACCCTGAGCATTTATGATGGAGCTCTTCCAGTGAGGATCAGAAGAAGGGAAAATTTGGGGTGCAGGTGTCTCAGAATTCTCACCTTCCATCTCTTTGTCAATGTGGAAATACAGCCTGCATTGCACATAACGGTTTGTGAACGTAATTGTAATCCCGAGACAGATGGCTGGAAGGCACAGGATCTTTGTGCCCATTTAGTGGTGGTCTTCAAGAGATAATCTTCATCATAGATATAGAGGGAAGGTGGCCCTGTGGAGAGAAAACTAAGAGACCCACCCCCGGGACTGAGTCACTGGGGAGGGGCTATAGGGAGAGCATGAGGCTTGACACACAGAGAGGTAAGAAACTCTCAGTTTATAGAAGCCAATCCCTGTACTGCAACATGAACGAAAGGACCAATCCCTCTACTGCAACATGAATGAAGGGACCAATCCCTGTACTGCAACATGAA